GATGGAGTAGGTACTATTATAATACACTTTCACAGATGAGAAAACTGAGGTTTATCCACTCAGGTTGGTCAGCTCTCCCAAGGCCAGTGAATTCAGTGCTGGGGTCCAGGCCCAGGCAGTCTGGCAGGGCTGGTGACAGCAGCGCTCCTGCAGGCAGTGGGGAGGACCGAGGAGAGCATGGAGCACTCTGGCCGGAGCCCAGGCACACTGGGCATTCAACCACCGGAGCTATTAGGACCGTGAGAGCGAAGGGGCAGGGTCCTGGGCAGCTGAGTGGCGGCCCCATGCACGGAGCAGCAGGCAGAGGCTCCAACTCGGGCTGACGAGGGATGACATCGCACCTCATTTGCTGCGCAACGTTTGTGTAATTAGACACATTTGGCGCCGGCAAGGAGGAGCGGGCGTCAGCAGGGGCGTGATGGATCGGGCGCTCCACCAGGCTCCGACCATATTAATCATGGGAGCCCAAGCCACGGGGGCCATTTTTCTCAGAGGCTTTGTCCTGTTTCCCTCCTGGGGCACTGGGGGGTGGGAGAAAGTGTGGGCTTTCCAGAGCCCGAGGCCAGCCCTGCAGCCCTCGCCTGGTCCCCCTGTGGTCCCGGTGGGGATAACTGTCCTGAGGATAAGGTGGGGCAGCTGGAAGCCCAGCCCAGCGGGACACAGGGCTCTGGGAACACAGCGCTGCTGCCCATCACTGTTGTTAACTAGACTAGCCCATCCTTGGCTGGGGAGCGGAGCCTGGGCTCCCCGGACCCTCGAGCAGAAGTTAGCACACCCCTTGGCAAGGCCGACACTTGCAGGTCGGTGCACTTCTCTGAGCCGCAGCATCCGCATCTGTAAGATGCAGGTTACAATCCCATCTTGCAGGGCATCAGGGAGGTGAACCAAGACAGCAACCAGGCTCCAGCGCAGAGCCGGCCTGCTGCGGGCCGGCACCAAGACTCACACTCCTGATTGCATTCTCCTGCCTGATGCCAGACTCGCCGGTGGGGCTCGGTGACCCCAGACAAGCTGAATGGTCACCCCCAGAGATGTCCATGTCCCCATCCCTGGAACCCGTGAATGTCACCTCCTACAGGAAAAGGGCCTCTGCAGACATGACTGAGTTAAGGATCTTGAGACAGGAGGATTATGCTGGATTCTCCGGATGGGCCCCTAAAGCAATCCGGGTGTCCTGATAAGAGAGGCAGAGGGAGAAAATTCCAGAAGAGGAGGAGGTGACTTGAGGACAGAGCAGGGGAAGAAAGGCCATGTGAGGGGAGGTAGGGGTCACGAGCCAAGGATGGCAGGAGGCCTCCAGAGGCTGGAAAAGTCAGGAAATGGATTCTCTCGTGGAGCCTCCAGAGGGAACCAGCCCCACCAGCACTGGGGTTTTAGGCCCACAAGACCTACTGCCGGCTTCTGGCCTCCAGAACTACATGAGAGTAAGTCTGTATTGTTCTAAGCCACCAAATTTGAGGTAATTTGTCACAGCAGAACAGGAAACGAATACACTGCCAGCAGGTCTCAGGTCTAGTGACAGAGCCACGGAGGCTGCAGTGACAAGGCCATTTCCACAGGTGCCGGACCTTGCCTGCTGCCTGCCGTCATCACTTTCTACTTCTGCAGGTGCTGTGCCTACGTCCCGCCCCGCACGGGCCAGGAAGGAAGCAGATCCAGAGAGGGGACCTGACCCTCGTCCAGCCCAGAGCTGGGGAATAGAAAAGAGGGGCTGCCTCCTGGCCCCAGTTGTCCACTGGCCCAGGGAGGGACAGCACTGAGGGCCCCTCGTCCAGTGACAAGGCCCTGCCTGCAGCCAGAGCGTCTCCAGTCTGGGCCTGCAGCAGCATGGCCAGATAGGGGCCCTGCCCCAGTCTCTGATTCAGCAGATCTGTGCTGGGACCCGAGAACCTGCATTCCTAACAGGCTCCCAGGGGACGCTGATGCTGCCAGTCCGAAGGTTTGGGGAACCACTAACTCAGGGGGTGGTTCCCTAACAAAGGGCTGTATGTGCTTTCAAGAGGAATCAGCTGGGACCATCCAGGGGACCTGTGGTCAGACATGTGCTCCCAAGAGACAGGTCAGCACGCGGCTGAGGGCCTGGGCTCAGGGAACAGTAAGTAGATTCCTAATTCTCCCCCTCCCTAAGTGGGTTATGTTATTTAACCTCTCTGTGCTGCTTCAGTTCCTTCATCTGTGAAATGGGGATGGCACGAAATGCCCATCTTATAGGGGCAAGAGGATTAAGTGAGATGAAACACAGGAAGGGTTTGCAACAGAACCTGTGGACAAGGTCACAGCTACCGTGAGAAACGGCAGTGGTTAATGGTGGGTCTTCTTACAGCTGTCGCAGCTCCTGGGGATGTGGGGAGAGGTGAGCCAGGACATTCATCTGCAGAGACAGACCTGCATGGACTCCCCCCAGGGAGCTCTTAGCACTGCCCACGTCGAGACCACCACTGGCCCCTGCAGGGAGCACTTCACTGTAGCCCTGCTGTGCCCAGGATCTGTGTCGCTGAACCAGCCAAACACTTCTCGAGAGCAGAACATCAGCAATTCCAATCCCCTTCCAAATGGGGACTCAGATCCCTTGATTCTCCCATGATTCTCAGAGGCCACCAACAGAGCAATTTTTGGGTGACTCATGGGCTCCAAACGTATGTGCCTTCCAGAAGCTGCCGGAGCTGTGGTCTCCGTGAGGCGGGCCCACTACCTGCCAGGTGGACACAGGCCGCCAGCAGCAGGGCCCAGTCAAATGAGAACCCGCTACAGGCACAGCAGTAAAATGAGAAGCCCCAACACGTTGAAAGCACACAGAGGACAGCTTGAAGGGACTCCCAATGCCCGAACCTGGGATGATTTGAACAAGAAAATAAATAGCGATAACAATAGAGTATAATCATAGAATAACAGGAATATCCGCATATTTATTTGACATAAATAAACAACCAAATATAAATAAAGAAATGAGGAGAAGGGATAGCTCTTTCTGACAGTAGAATTCCTATGGATTAATCTGGAAGGAATGAAGGAAATAGAAAATCACTATTTGGCAAACACTAGCAATGACTATTTTTGGCAAGAACCATGGATGGATGTTAGAGTTAGGGGGTGAAAATACGATGAGAAACAGGATATTTACACATTATCAAAGTGGTACCCCACAAGATACTTACTAATTCCAAAGGGACCAACTTTAAAGAGGAGAAACCCAGCAGACCTCACCTTAACTGAGCAATCTCCAGTGACGAGAAATGTGACACCATGGGTCCCCGGACATGCACTAGGGAGGGCACAACACTTTTATGGTTTATTCTCCAAGACGCATAATCTGAATTTAATCATGAGGCCACATCAGGCAAACCCAAATCGGGGTCATTTTATACAGTGACTGGCCTGTCCTCCTAAGTGTCAAGGTCGTCAAAGACAAGAGAGACTGAGCCACTGGATTAAAGATGACTAGAGATAGGACAACCAAACGCAAGGCTGCGTCCTGAACAGGAAAAAAGACACCAGCAGGCAATGGCCAAATTTGGGTAAGATTTCTGAGTTACTTAACAGCACAGTATCAGTCTTTGGTTATGTAAGACGGGAACATTCGAGGAACTGGGTGAAGGGCACACTGGAAATCTCCGTACTATTTTTGCAACTGCTTTTATATGTCTGAAATTATTTCAAAGTTAAAGATATTTTTAAAAAGAAAATAAAAGTCCCAGATTTACTCTGTCTTGGAGGCAATGAGTGCCCAGAAATAGGAGCCACCTGAGGGCTGGGACACCTTGTTAGTCACCTGCCTCCTGATCAGGCGTGGTACTTGGCTTTGCATACAGCGCGTGCTCGGCAAGTATGTCCTGACTTCATTCGAACAGGAGCTGGGAGAGCAGAGGGTTTGTCTTCAACAGGGGGATTGCGTGGGGAGGGGTCTCCACTCAGCAAACACTGATCGTGCACCTATTATGTGTCACTCATTGTCAATGCGGAAATGAGCCGGAAGCTCAGAGCCTGCTGGGCGGACGTGTGACAACAGAGGATTCTGGTGTGCCAGTGCGGTGAGAATCCAGGAAGGGCCCACCCAGCATGGGGGATCCCAGTGCCCCCAGGAGGAGGCGGCTCCTGCACTGAGGCTCAGAGGATCAGGAGCAGGTGGCCAGGAGGAGGAGGCATCCCAGGCAGCCTGGGCAGCAGGGGCTCAGGCACAGGCGCATGTGGTGGCCTGGACAGGTGAGGAGGCTGGGTCAAGAGGGGGCCAGCTGATCCTCTGCAGTAGGTTCCCTCTGAGGCAGGTGTGGGCAGCAGTGGAGGTGTTGGGGGTGAGGCAAAGGTTTCGGCCTCTCTTCGAGAAGCAGAACAGATGGGGTAGCAAGGAAGTGAGCCTTCGACTGATAAAGACCGAGAAAAGTAACATCAGCCATGAGCTTCCAAGTCCAGATGAGAATGAAGAGAGGTGGGCTTTGGCACAGAGAGACAGCACTGGTGACACACTCCTTCTACCCAGGAGTGTGGCAGGCAGTAGGAAGAAGCCACAAAGTATAACTTTGAGCTTGCCCTTATCAGTACAGTGACCCTATAATTTACTATCCAAACTGGGACACTTGTGAGAGTGAAAGGGGCACTATGAATTATTATGCTGTGACAACATGTAACTAAGGTCACCGTACTGACATGGGACCTTTGGCCTGGAGACGACTCCCACTGCATGGGAGTAAAGGGCGGGTGAAGAGCTTCAAGGCACTTATGTGGCCACAGCAGGACAGCCTGCAGCCTCGGAGGTGGTGATGTACAAGACGCTTCCTTCTTAGGTAACCAGAGAGGAGCTGGATGCTCGCATCCCAGCCACACATTCACTCATGGTCCCGTGTCAGTGCACTCGCGGGTGCAGAGGCGACTGTCCACTCGGGACGATGCAGATCAGGAACTCCAAAAGGAAAGACAGAGTCAGGAGAGGGGGCTGAGGCTGCAAGCCGGGCTCCCCAGTGGCAGGTGACAGCACGCTGGGGCGGCGGGCAGAGGGCAGAACTTACCCGTGCACGCCATGGACCGAGTGAGGCTCGTAATGGTACCTTCCCTCCTGGTGTCTCATGTCAATCGGTAAGGGAGCATGAAACGGTGGCAAGAGATGCTGCGGCACTGCGGAGGGGAGAGAAACAGGAGTTCAGAAACTTTCCCCTCCTTGGAAAAGCAATTTTCAAAGGACTTTAAAGCTCAATGAATTTCAGAGCAAGAGCAGTCAGGACAGGGGCCTCGCTGGTGCCCGGCTATCACACACCCACGAAGGGGGATGAATAAATAATCAAAGTCAGCCCCAGAATCCTATATCTTTCACATAAAAGATCCCCAACCGCGCTCTTGACAAAGACAAGCAGCTAAGCGCTCTTTGAACTCGGGGAGATTACAGGCTCGGCCACAAATCAGGGCTGACAGAGCCGACAGGCTTCTGCCCATCCCGGCCTTGGCGGCGTGTGGCTCCAGCAGCCCTGGGTTACGGCATGTGGACGCCGCTGCAGTTACACAAGCTGGAAATGTTTACCTAGAACCATCTGTGAAGTCAGGGCCCGCTCCCAGCTGCGGCCAGCCTCAGGAAGGCCAGATCCCACCGCGCTGCCTGCCCCGTCCTGTTGGTGGCATACAGAGGGCACCTACGTGGGTCTGTTAATTTTCCAGCTCTTAATATTAATTACTGACCCCAAGTGCACTGGCGGGGGCCTCTAAGATGCAAACACCGACAGGTGAGCATGGGTTTCCAGAGGTGAGTGAGCCTCCTGTCTGCACTTGGCCTGCCCTCAACAAATCAGCATAATTGTAGGATGCTCTTTGCTTATTAAAAAAAAACTCCTGGGTACCTTAGAGGCAAACATAATTATAGGCTTTAGGAAAACAAGGCTCTTTAAAAAGTAGTTAGACTGGGAAAAGGGCTAAGAAGTGGAGATTTCTCAGTCAACTCTCACTCAGGCTGACAGCCATGGGCCAGCGGGGATCAGCGTCAGGTCTGAATGGCTGAAGCGTCTAAAGAAATGGGGCTGGGTTCGTTTCATGTGAGCACAGGTCAGCTGAGTGCCAGGCCTACCGTCATAAACGCACACGAATAACGCTGCTGTTTCTGTGCAAAGAGGTTCTGGTCTGTATTCTAAACACTATGAATTCTTTTTTTTATTGTGGTAAAATATAAGTAACATAAAATTTACCATTTTAACCATTTTTAAGCAAAGTTCAGTGGCTTAAGTACATTGTTATGCTACCGCCATCCATCCCCAGAACTCTCTTCATTTTCCCCAACTGAAACCCTGTACCCACTGAACACCAACTCCCCAGCCCTCCCCTCTCACCCCCGCAGCCACCATCCTACTTTCTGTCTCTATGAACATGACTGCTCTAGGAACCTCATATGAGTGGAATCATACAGTATTTGTCCTCTTGTGACTGGCTTATTTCATTTAGCATACTGTCCCCAAGCTTCATCCATTATAGCCTGTGTCAGAATTTCCTTTTTCAAGGTTGAATAATATTCACTGTATGGATATACCACATTTTGGTTTTCCATTCATCTGTCAACGGACACTTGGGTTGAAGGCTATGAATTCTTAACAGGAGGCTTTTCTCCTGACATTTTAACCTTAATTTTTACTTGTTCAATTTTATCTTCGTAATCCCACAATACTGGGAATGTCCATGGGGACTAGGAACAAAGCTAGCAAATTTTCTCACCCTGATCAAATCAACTTGCCAAACCCAGACTCAACAATTCTTGGGCTCAAAGGGGAATTGGCTGTGGGACACAACACACGCGTGCTGTCCCATTCCTCTGGTGGGGCAGTTCAGGAGATGGCGATTACTGGAGCGAGTGCCCTCACCCCTGAGGCCCGTGTCTTCTGAGGGGTGAGGCTGGGCCTGCAGCTGTGACTCTGGCAGCAGCAGAGGATGACCAGAAGCCTCTGGGAGTCAGAGACCCCGAGGGCAAACCTGCTATCACCAGTGTGTGGCTTTGAGCAGCCTCTTTATCTCTCCACATCCCCGTTTGTCCACTGGAAAATGGATCCCAATAACCACCTTCGTGGTTGCTACGAAGATAAAAAGTTCCCGTGGGAGGTGCTGAGCCCACGCCTACACACAGAGGAAGTGCTCCATAGGTCTCACTACTGACAATGACAATTATATGACGATAGTATTTGGAGCTCCACTGTCTGTAACCAAACTATGCATACACCATTTCCTAGCTGTGGGGCATGGGACAAGTTGCTCACCACTCCCTGCAAACCCTGGGGAGGGCGGAAGGCCAGTGCTGGCCTGCTTGCACACGGGAGACAAAAAGGCCGCCCCTGAACCCCCAGGGGAGTCGGCAGGGAAGCAGTGTTCGTCTCCCCAGAGGGGCAGGAAAGGGGCTTTATGATTTTTTTTTAACGTGGCCAGGCAGACCCAGATTGCTGACAAAATTAACCTGGTTTGCTTTCGTGTATTTCTGAATGTTTCGGCACAACCGAAAGCCCCCTGAGGCAGCCAGGGTAGGTGTTACTGCACCCATTTCACAGATGAGGAAATGGAGGCCAAGGGTGATTTCAGCCCAAAGTCATGAGGCTGGAAAACGACAGAGCCAGGAGGAGAATCCAAGGCCCTGGACAGCTGGTTATGGGCTTTTCCCTCTGCCCAGCCCAAATGAACACCCAGAGACACCTCCTGGGTGCAAGGGTGACCCCTGGGGTCCTCCCATCCCCACCTTGCTTCGTACTGTATTTAACAAATGCACTCACAGTGCCAGGCCCTGTTCTAGGCGCTTTGCAAATATCAACTCCTGGGTCTTCACAGCAAGCCCAGGCTGCATTCACCCCAGAATTCCTGGTCTTCCCATTGACCATCCCCCAGCACAGTGGTGTGCTCCTTTTCCCTCCAAGGTTGCACATGCAGAGGTTGAAGGGGGTCCCCTAATGCAATCAGAGCTCAGACCCACCCGACCCCGACTTGGCCCCTGTCTCACCAGCTGTGAGCAGAGATGTTGCTCTGAGCAGGATTAACGCAATTTCATCCAGGTCTAAAGAACTATCAAATCTACAGGAATGAAGGGCTCACGGTAGTTTACCAGGCAAACATGAAACGGAGGTGGCTCTGACGCTGTGTGTGTGTGCGCGTGTGTTCACGTGTACATGCACCGCATGCTTTGGGGGAGGAGGAGCCCGGGGCTTCCGGGAAGAAGCATCAGGCCAGCCACCCACAGAGTCCTGCTGCAGCTGGGCCTGCTCCCTGCCTTCGGCCAGGTCCCTGGGGTGAAGGCTGTGGAGGTCACCAGGGGAAGTGGCTTTCTCTTCCCGCAGCCCTACTGCTCCCCAGACGGCTTACGCCCACGGAATGAGCAGGCAGCAGGGGCTCTGGCCACATCCCCGCACCCCTCACCCTCACCCCTTTGGCATCCTCTAAAGGAGTCTGGGAACACATGTTAGCAGTTCCTCCCATCCAGGCGTTGGTGTGTCAGGCAGCCAGCAGCTTGAGTGTGGCAGAGTCCCCGCCCGGGTCAGGGAGGGGAAGCGCGGCGGGCGCTCATCTTTACCGACGGCTGCGTCTCACGGGTATCTGCTTAGGACACCTCATTCAGTTTTACCATCAACCCTGTTCTTATCGCCATTTTTATCTCCACGTGGTCTGCCTCTACTTCTAGGAGAGCACGGACTAGGCAGTTTGTGACTGTGGTTTCATTCTCTCCCCCTCACTGAGCCCCATGTGGTTTCCCAGAGCCCAGCCCAGCACACAGCACACAGCAGGCCCTCAGCAAATACGGCCTCTGAGCACTTCTGTTCCAACATGGCAGCACCCAGTGTTGGCCCAGGATGAATGGACATGCCTCTGATCAACTAGCAGGAGCAAGGAGTCTAATCTGGGGACCCAATGTCCAGATCCCTCTGCCCACTCTCTGAGAGGCGACCCAGTCCATTCACCCCAGTGGGGCTAAGTCTGGGCAGCGGTCACTGTAGGAACAGTCATTCTTTCATTCAGTCATTCATTTATCTGCCTTGTATCAGGTGCTTGCTATGTAGCAGGCACCATCGTAGGTCCTGGGAGCAGCACAATGGAAACGCAGCCTGCACCACTGCCCTCATAGAGCCATAGAGCTTCCCTAAGGGAGAGCAGACAAGTGGCGAACAGACCAGCAAGTGCATTTATAACATAATGTCAGAAAGTGATGAAGCTAAGAAAGAAACCAAGTGAACAAGGGAGCAGGGAGGGGACTTGGACAATGCATGAGTAAGTCAGGGCTTTCTGGAGGAGAGGGTGTGCCAGGCCAGGGGAACAGCAGGTGCAAAGGCCCGGGGAGACCTCGGGTGGGGACCAAGGTGGAGAGACCTGGGCACTTCAGCAGGAAGGCGAATGTGGCTGAAGCACGGGATGGAGGTGGGGAGACAGGAGAAAGGGTCCTGTGAACCGGGTGGGCTGTGCAAAGGATTTTGGGGTCTTTTCTCTGGGAGATTTGTGAAGCCCCTGAGGGCTCCTGAGCAGACATCACATGCTGTGATGAAACTTTTCAAAAGGCCACACGAGTACACTCAGGTTGTGTCGGGCAGGGGTGTGCATTGGCCAGGAGCCCCAGACTGGCCCTGCCACTAGGCAGCCCTGGCACTTTGGGGAAATGATGTCCCCTCTCTGGGTTTCTCATTAACCCTCTGTACAATGGGGATTAGATGAGCTCTACGTTCCTTCCCAGCAGGACTATCCCACTGCTTGTGAATGGCCACTCGCTCTCCCAGGAAAGAGACACACTTTCCCCAGCCAGTGACACACTGAGGTTTGAGGAGGGATCCCCGAGCAGCTCACAGAAGGGATTCTGTCTGGGCACAGGCACAGTTTCATCGTTATGGCTGTCAACTTAAAAAGCAAATTTGCCTGTTATTTTATCCTCAAAACAAGTTTATTAGGGAATAGCCAAAAGAATTGCAATTTGGGATATGCACACTACGGCAAACCATGGGCAACTCCAGAAAACAAAGGAGAGGGGCTGCTTTTATTCAGAAGGAGTAGGGTGGGGCTGTTCCAAACAAAAGCCTACTGGGGGAAAGTAATAAGTTAGGGTGGCAATGGCTTCTCATTGGCTGAGCTGCAGAGTTTCTCATTGGCTGAGCTGCAGTGTTTCTCATTGGCTGAGCTGCAGT